CTTTCCATTTTTTCCTTCTATTGTTTTTTTTTTTTTTTCTTTTCTTTTCTTTTCCCTTTGTCCTATCTCCACCTCCCCTCCTGGTTCCCTGGAAGAGCATCACGAAGGCTACACTTCTGAAAAAGGGTCACTGGTCCCTGTGCCACTGCACTGGCTTTCCAAAAAGAACTAAGATGCATTTCAAAATGTAAGTGCTCACCAAGTTCAGATTACTTTTTCCTTGCTGTTGAGAACTAATGATAAATGCACGTTTTTCCTGCTTTATTGAGTGAATCACCCAATCAAGTTTTAGTCTTCTTAAATTGGTCCTTTAGACAATTTTGACAGCAACTATATGAATGAATAAAATAGACTGACCTTCAGGAGAAATACCCAGCCTAATTCTCAGAGTTACAATAACCTAATTGAGAACAGACATATTAAGTATATCTGTCAAATCAGCTAATTACTAGGAGATAGTGTCTACGCCCAGTGTTTTAAAACCCAGAAATGTACTTAGTGCTTTTCAGTGCCTATTTACTATGCTACTGATGGAAAAATTAGAGGAGCAAAGTGAAAATGAGCAAATAGTGGAAGCCTTCAGATTGTAACACACATTAATCTCAATTTTCTGTAGTTCCTAATCATGAGTATTTGATTAAAGAGTTTTGCATATCTATAGCATCATTAAAAACAACTATTTTCAAAACTGAAGAGAGAATTTATGGAAGTGTAGCTCATTGGTCTGCATTCTTATAATTCTGCTATACATTTAAGCATGTCTACATGCCTTAAACAGTTCACCACCACTAATCAATAACAGTTATTTCAGTGGATTTTAAATGAGCCAATATTCAGCTAGCACTTTAACCCTGTTTAAAAAGATATGGTGAATTTAGAACAGGCTTTTTATTTAACAGGTTTAAATGTACTGAGCACATTAACATTTTGAGTAAGATTAAAAGTTAAAGTATATCCTATACTTTGTTCTTAGACCATTTAAAATATAACTTGCATTGTCTCCAAAAATGTAAATCAAATTTAATTTATAACTTAAAAAAGGAAAATGTATTCTTATATAGTTATTTCCATTCAATTGTTAATTGCAATTTTCTTTTTAAACAAAATTATGTGAAACTGTATATGATTCTGTATCCTGCAAAAAAGTAATGAGTCAATGTTTTTAATTCTTTCTCATATTAAAAAAAGCAATAGAGAAATTTAGGCCTTCTCAGAAGCACACAGTGTGACTCTAAGAGGGTTTTTGATGCTTAATCTGTCTTAATTCTGGCTATTTTGAAATATTCTCGTGGGATTTGCTTCACACTGCTGTCAAAGTTTCTTTCTGATCAAGTACTCTGATAGCTCCATCCCCAGGTCAAAGCCCCACAGTGGCTTCCTATTCATAGAATAAACCCCACCCTCCTTCCCTCAACCCTCCCACAGCTGCCTTCCACCCACTCTCCTCCTCCTCCATGCTCAATCTGCACTCCAGGCACCCAGACCCTCCTTGTTCCAGAACAAGGTCTTTCTCCTGAACCACTGCTTTGCTGCTCACACTTTGCCCCTCTGCTTGCAAGGACCTTCATTCGTCAGCTCACTCATCAGTACAACAAACAGCCTCCTCCTTCCTGACCCAGTTCAAGCTCCTTGCTTCTGAAAATCGTCTTAAATCCAACCCTCTCTCTAATCCTGTTGGTCCTCTCCTGTGTGTGGCATTTGTTATTTTAGAACTTGGGTGTCCATACCCATGCATCCCCTGCTAAAGTGTACAACTCTCCTGCTTTCTTTCCTCCTGTGGGTGCCACAGCAGCGGCTCACAACCAAATCTTACCCTTGCTTTCAACAGGATATTCACTTAATGGTACCCTCTGGGGAAGTGTAACAAACTCTTCAGAGCTCAGGCTCTGATAAGAGATTGCTCAAATTAAAATTTTGCTTCTTTCATTTCCCAGAAACAGGGTCTTTTTTATGCCTCAGTTTCCTAATATGTAAATCAGCATAAAAAGTATGCCTCGTTAAATTAGTTGAGAATTGATGATTCCATGTGTTATGTACACAGCACTGAGCTTTTGGGTAAGTGGCACTCAACAGATACTAACAAACTAAAACAAAACAAAACACCTAGATCTAATAGGTAGGTTTAAAAACCTGGACTATAAAGCACAACTTAGAAGTATGTGAAAACAGAAAAGTTAATGAAATAGTCAAAGAGTTTGCAGCTTGCTAATTATAATGAGTATTATAACAGTTTTAAAATCATACCTAGAGATGGAGAGAACTAGAAAAGAGGGGAAAGGCAGGGTTTAGTAAAACTAATTAAGATATGTTATCTATATGGACCAACTCCTCACAACACATACAGGCATAATATACTGAAAACATGTCCTCATACACATTTAAAACAATAAAATCATATTTATAGCTATGCATGACATAGGGGTCCTGTAGGCTGGAGAGACTTGTGGCAGGGGACCTCACATGTCAAGTAGAATGCATGCAGATACAATGTGACCCAATTATTTTCCCAACTTATTAGCTAAGGAATCGAAGGTGAATCTGAACAGAATCCACCACACTGAACAGCAGCCTCTGAAGCATCCTATTCCATCTACTTCTACAGAGAAGCAGAAGCCCTCAAGAACATAGGTCATATACCTTTTAAGGCAGAGATGTTTCACAATGGGATGTATTTCTTGCTTTCCCATAGTTTATCATGTTAAATGAATCAAACACTCTGGCTTTCAACATCCAGTGTATTTACATGAAGAAAACCTGAAGTCCTTTAAACCTTTCAGCTTTCTGAGTCTTTCTGGATTCTCTCCCGCCTACTCCATTCCTGTTACCCATCTGCTCTTCTCCTGATTACTTCATTCCGTCTGCACTGGCTGCCCAGCCCTTCATGGAATTTGACAGTCTGAGAGCATCTGAACTTGAACATATCCTCCATGGGCCTTTCATCATTGACCCCAAAACCTCTTTAAATCACTCTGAACTGTCCCCTTTCTGTGAGGCGCTCACTGGTCAGCCGCGGAAAACTGTGCCCCTCCCAATCTACAGTGCCACCAGCTCACATACTGTACATTGTTTTTGCTTTGAGTTATGCATCATCTTCTATGCATCTTGAAATCAAAATATAAATTCCAGGGAGGAGGGAGTGTCCCTGTGGTTGACATATTGTCACCTAAACCAGTGCATGGTACACAGTGACACTTGATCAATATCTGATGAATACAAGAATGATTAGGAGCCCCTGGGGCAGCTGTACCACCAACCTGAATCCTGACCAAACTGGCTGCTTATACTGAAAATAGGTCTTTCCCCAAATATTCTACCTTGTGTTTCCAAAACTGCTTTAATGTGGGTCAAGGGGTCTCCAATAGGAGAGATTTGCCCCTCATTCAGGATCTTGGCAGTGACTGTGGACATCTCAGGTAGTCACAGTAGCAGTGGGTGGCAGGTACTGCTGTATTCATTCTAGTGCGGAGAACAAGAAGCTTCCAGATGCTCTGAAAGGTGCAGGAAAGCACAACATAACAGTGTCCTGCTTCCAAATAATGCTAAGATGAGACGTCCTGATTGAGTGGTGGTAATTTCTTAGTTCTGCCAAAAAAGGGGGGCGATGAGGGAAGGAAAGAGGAAAGCAAGTACCCTGCTCTAAGTCAATGGTTGGTATTACAGGAATATAAAACTTGTAAAACTTCTGTATAAAAAATGGAGCTTTTCAAAAAATTCCAAACATGTTCTAGCAAAATACAAAATAGGTATGTAAGAGGTCAGAGACAGAGACAGAAACAGAGAGACACACAGAGACAGAGAAAGGCAGTGGGACGGAGAGGAGCTGAATTAAACTGCAAATGAGGGATTTTGTGACCGTCTCTTCAGACACCTTGAAAGTGTGCCTCATATTCCTGCTATATATATTCTTCCAGGAATAACTGACAAAGTTGTAATAAAAAAGGGGGGAAATCCCAAATTACTCTCTCCTCTCCGCAGCCCCGCAGCCTGCCGCCAACGGCTCAGAGCATTTGGCAGGAGCCGGCTGTATCAGGGAGCAGATGCTCCTCGCAGGCACTTGCAGTAACATCAGGGATATGAGAACTTGGGGAGAAATTAACCAAGTGATCAGAAGCAGACGAGGAGATATTAAGAGGTTCAGCATTCCCCACTCTGTAAACACGGTGAGAGTGAGACTCGTGGCCCAGTGAAACTGCAGCCTGCTCGGCTCACAAAATGTACAAAGAGCGTCAGAAAAATAAGTCTTTGGGAAGAAATGAAGTCGCAGCAGCTGAGGAATTCGTAATGACTGTAGGACAAACTATATTTATGGTGGGATGAAAAGCCAAATTCTTTCTTCCAGAGCACGTTAATAGGGGAATCACTCCCAGCTTTCACCCTTCGCTGGTATTTGTACACTTTGATGTTCTTTCCCCTGCGCTGTGTAAGCATTTCTTCCTCTTACTTTTTCACGTAGTTCACTCAGCATTATCTTTTGATCATCAAAATACATTTTCTTTTCCAAGACAGGCCTCCTTCGTTCTTCCACAAAGTGCTTTTTGAGACTAAGACCAAACATTACTATGAAAATGATGCATGGAACTTTGGGGAACACAGAGTACCACAGAGAGCAAATGGGTAATTGTCAAAAATTAACCTTTGAAGAAATATTTAGAAAGAGGACATAAAGAAATATGTGTGTGTACTTTTCATTGAAAAAAGTAAAAATTAGTGATACATCTATATTCCTGTAAATCAAATTGAAGTTCCCCGAATTAAACTGAGAGGAAGACTAAGTGTGAATTGAAAGACAAAAACATTTTGGTTAGTTTAGAGCAGTAATAGTTTGACAAAAACATGTCGGTTTTTTAATATCTGAAATATAACGATAAGGAATGAAATAGTTGATTCCTGCTACAGCTAGGATATTTTTTTCACTCCAACTGACAGAAAGAACCATAGACCACAGAAAGTCGTCAATTATAAAATGACTCACAGGTTGTCTAATAACAAAGGAAACTTACAGACAGCAAAGGAATGGCAACTTTTCCAAGAAAATCGGGGGGTTTATCTCCATCTTCATCAAATACTGTCACTTCCAAAACATCATGGATATCTTTAATGGGACTGAAACAAAAAATATCAGGTATTATACATAAAAAACACATATGTGAAGCCTGTTCCATGAAGAACTGAAAACAGTTTCACTAATTAAGTCTGTGTGTCCTCGGAGTATAAAACTACCATTTAATTAAATTCCAAAAATTAAATCAAACTGACTGTATTCCCAAACCTTCCATCATAGCAGATTCAGACATCCACAGGAAAAAAACCAAGCCAACTTTTTCACTGTGACATTCCCATTTACACAGATACTCAAGGGTGGGATGATTAAAGGAATGAGATAAAGAAAGAAAAGCAGGGAAAGAATGGGGAGCATTAAAGTGATTACAAAGTAGACACCAAATTATACACACAAAAAAACATTTTCTTTAAATTAATGAAGAATTCTTTTTTGATAAAAGGTGGAAAAATTAGTATTTGCTGAGATACACAGAAAGCCTCCTACTATGGCCAAAAAAAAAAAAAAAAAAAAACTATCAAAAATCCCATACATATTTTTAATATTGACCAGAATCCACCTACCAGTGATAATGAAAAATAGAGCCAGAACCACTGGCACATTATTTGGAAAGGAAGAGACTTTTACAACTAGAAACTGGGAGACTTGGTTAGCACAGTGGAGCTGTTTCTCACAGTTTCTTGAGAATTTCTAACACTGCCATTAACTCCACTAGAAACAGAGTTGGCTTTTCCCCCTTTAAGTACAGACTAAGAATTTATTAGGTTTGGTGGGGCCAAACACTATCATTTCATCCAAATTCAACAAGGGCTTCCCTTTGACGTTCAGGTATCTTGAAGTATAAAGCTAACAAGAAAATCATCTAGACCCCTAAATGCCCAAGTTTGGCATTTAGATATGGAATGGGCTACTCAGATAAAGAGCAGTATAAGGAACCTTTGGGAATCTTCGAGGACTCACAGATAATCTGTTTTCCTCAAAAGACTCTGGCAGAATACCACCTTCAGGCATTAGAATAATGTTCTAATACACAGCTCCTTGAATTTAAGGCAGGGTTTCATTTGTAATTTTCCTTAAACCAGGAATGAATTATTCTAGAAACAGATGTTTCCATCTACTCACAGATTAATTTAGCTGCTAAAAGATACACTTTACTAGTGTCTCCTATAACATTCTCTTACAGTTGCAAAAGATCTCTCCCACTATTAACATCACACTAAAAAATGAAAGGATAAAAGGTTTTCAGAAGAGAAAAAAAAAAAAAAACAATAAATTCCCTCTTTGCACATAAAAATGGACAAAAAGTTGCACACAAGAGCCCCAGCCTGCCTCAGAGACATAATTTCTCTGTAAGTTAAAGCTGCTTCTCTGTAATCCAGAGGCTAAAGCACTTACAAGGTAAAAACTTTGTTCCACTCCGGGTTGAGGTTTTTGTAAATGGTATGTGTCTGAAGTCGGTCATTGCCTAACTCCAACAAGCAGAAAGGATCGCTCTTCCCTGAAAAGAGAACACAGACATTGGTCAAAGACAAATGACTCTCAAAAGGATAAAAATCAAAGTGACAAAAAGCTATGGACTTTTACACCAATAAACTTGTGTTTGCTGAAAGATAAAGGTGAGACTCCTTTTCTAGCAAGGCCTGTGGAGATTCTTTGTGGGAAATGAGGAATAGGTGAGACATACGAATGTTTGGCCTGCAGTATCTTCATGGACTGTGGCTGGTACATAACTCCTATCTCCAACCACATATACCTTTGAAAATCCATAGTCACACAGGTATCACGGGTGGGGTTATTAGGTTGGACTGTAAGAGTGTTCACTTATTTGTTTTAAAAATCTACTCAAGAGCAAAGTAACAATGATGATGATAATTATCACCATCATCACTATAATCATCTAATTTTTTAAACGAACAGAATACTTGAAAAGATATATTTCAAAAGAAGATATATACAAATCTTTAATGAGTATCTGAAAAAATATTCAATATCACTCATGAGGGAAATGCAAACAAAAGCCACTATAAGCTATTATCGTACTCCCTTTCAATGGCTGTTATCTTGAAGTCGAGATGGCAGTATGGATGTGGAGAAAAAAGATGCATTCAGTGTGGGTGTGGGTGCAAATTGTACCACATAGTCATTACAGAAAACAAGGTAGAGTTTCCTTGAAACATTAAAGATAGTTCTCCCATATTATTCAGCCATCCCACTATCAGCTAAGCATTCAAAGTGGAATGAAATTGGTGTGTTCAAGAAATTCCTGCACTCCCATGTTACGGCAACAATAGTCAAGATAAGAAATCGACCTAAACATACACGAATGAATAAGTGGATAAAGAAAATGTGGTAACCGCATGAGGAAACAATATTCTGCTCTAAAGGAAAGATGACATCTTATCATTTGCAGCAACATGGATAAATCTGGAGGAAACAAAGTAAAAGGCACAGAAAGACAAATACTACACTATCTTACTGATATGTGAAATCTAAAGAAACAGTCCACGCAGAAGCAGAGAGTACCAACAGCCAGGGAGAGTCTGGGGGAGACCAGGAACAGAGTGTACAAAGTTACCATCGGAGGAGTAAGTGCTGGTTTTCTATCGCACAGTAGGTTGACAATGACTAATTATACTGTATTGAATATTTCAAAATGCCAAAAAGAAATTATGAATGTTCTCTATAAAAAGTAAAAACAAAGCAATGGTAAAAGGGTGAGGTCATAAATGTGCCAAATACTAAAATTTAATTACATTACATATAATACATATCAAAATATCACAGTATATTATGACATTATCATTATGCATCTATTTTTTTTTGTCTTTTTCTTTTTTATCAGTACCAGGGATTGAACTCATGACTGCCTGCTTGCAAGGCAGGTGCTTATGCCGCTGAGCTAAATCCCCAGCCCCCACATTATGCATCTATTAAAACCCAAGACACTGTACCTCATCTCTGCTTCCTCCTTAAAATTTCTGTCTTGTCAATAGGGATGGTTATTCTTCAATAATCGGAGGTCTATGAAAATCCATAGGCCTCTATACATTTGTGAGGGAAGTATAAAAATGGCCTTTAGGGATTAAAAGTCTGTTTGGAGGGAACAGCCACCAGCACACATGACCCCAGTGCTTGGTATGTACTGACATTACGTGGACTACAGTTTTGTTCTATGAAACCTATCAGAGTGCAATGCAGTAATGTCAGAGGTCATATTTTTGACTAAAAAACTAAAGTACATTCCTTACTATTCTTATTTCAACTCTTCTTTTTCCCCCTAATGCCTACATACTCCAAAATGCACACACAAAATAAAAATTCCATATCCAAAGTTAAACTCTGAGTTAGCAAGTAAAACTCCACTTCCCTTTTGTTGGGTTTGGCAGAGGGATCTTGAATTGGAACTGTCAGGGCAAGAATGAATGGCTCCATAATGTCCATAGGACATTAACACATTGCCTGCTTCCGCTGGGCTCCGGCACTTTACAAAGCAGTGTGTGCTAATTAATTGGGGGCATAAGGACAGGCGCCTCTGCAATAAATGGCCAAGGAGTCCTGGGCCAGGCCTAATGCAGACAGTGCTCCCGCCTCTTGACCTACTGGCCTACCAGTCAGGTCACTGAACTATCATCTAATTCACATAATAACTGGGAGCTCTGAGGTACCATATGTCAACAGAGAGGCCGGCATAGGCAGGAGTCTGCATGAGGATGATATCAGAAAAAAAAAAAAAAAAAAAAAAATTAAAGGAGGAGACAAAGAACAGACACGTGGGAGAAGGTCAGTACCAAACAGGAGATTGCATTCCACTGACTCACGGTCCTGACACTTAGATGCCTGGCCAAAGCTTTTAAGTCAAGGCCATTATCCCAGTGACCACTAGACAATGATCAAGCGTGGGACACAAAGGAGTAGGTTAGGATTCTCAACTGCAAACAATGGAAAAGACCATTAGCTGCATTATGCAGCTCATCTCTAGTTTCTTCCTAAAGGAAGGAGCAATTAAAGTAATATATTCACAGTTAAATATTAAAATAATATCAAACAAGTCTCAGAATCCCTCCAAAAGCTGGCTTGCAAAGTCACTGCCAAACAGTGTTTATACACAAGGAGCTTAGCCTCTACCCCATCCTGGGAAAAGTCTGCATGGCCTTTGATTCTCTGGAATCCAGGCCCCCATGAGCATGCCTGTTCCTGATCCCTGATCATAGTGGCTGTCCCACTATGAATTCTCGTTTCCTGCTTCTTTCCCTCACTTGATGCAGATTAAAGGCCTACTAAGAAGCTCTTGCCTGGTCAAACGCCCATAGCCTACCTGGCAGGGTTCAGAGAGAGAGGACTGACTTTCACCTTTTATAAATGAAACTGGTTTCTGACCTCATCTCTAAAACACAGTGGGAAGCATCCTCAAGTTAGAGTGGGTTTTACATGTCAGGCAGTCAAAATTAAAGTCACAGAAAATTCCTGCTTATTGCAAAGCATTGGCCATGTTTTTTGCAGGGTATTTGGTTGGGGCTTAATAGGCAGGAAGGCACCCACATACAACATGCATCCTTTTGGCTATCTTGCATGTGAGGAGAACAGATGCTCTAGGCTCAGTCCTCACGAATGGCAACCTTGCTTCCTCAACCCGAGTACAAGCAGCTACTTAACCGTTTGTCAGACTATTAGTAGGTGTCAGCACTGCTCCTCTGGTGGCACTGACATGACACGCCATCAACACTTGCTCTAGGGAACCCGCCTGACACATTTAATGAAAGCTCTGAGGTTATTCCAAAGCAGGGCAGAGAAGGGCCCTGCTCCTGTGGAAGCACAGGTGGCCTTGTGCTGTAGCTCCCAGTCTCCCGAGCCCTCATGCTCCGAGCTGTCCCAGATAATGAGGAAGAGACTTCCCTCCAGAAACAGAACCTCAGTCATGCATCTCCAAGGAACACCTCGCACCAACTCCCGGAAGGTAATTCAGTCAAAGCTCATTAAAATGCTGTATTGATTAATATTACAGTATAAACAGGCAGAGAAGAGCAAGGAGAAACAAAGATTTATAACATTTATGGACTGCTTCATGTGTTCTGTACATATTGCTTTCTTTCTCTTGAAAGTTGCCAGAGATGTAAGGAATATGGGTAAGATTTAAAATGACAAATGTTTTCATGGGGACAACAATGATCTCCTGTAATAAGTGGAATACTCAAATGTGCACCATTAGTGTCCATCAGGAAGACAGACACCCCAAATTCTTGGTCTTCGCTTCTTTCTGCTTCACCTAATTCACAGAAGACATCTAGATGACTCCTCTTTGTCTAACCAACAATTCACACTGACATAGTTATTGTCGCTGGTGACTGAGACTCAAACAGGACTTTCAAAGCTCTGCACTCAGTAGCTCTTATTTTTCTAAACCACTTTAAAATTTATTAATACCCCCAAGACACAAATAAGGGTTATTTATTTAGATAATTTTCCCTTTATAGTTACACAAATTGAGTGACAAGAAGTAAATGTATCTCAGAGGTCATAGGATTCATCTGAAGACCGTTTATCGAGCACCTGTCTGTACTTAGCACTGAAGTGGACTCCAATACCCAAAGACACGAAGCCATAACTTCTGGAACTTTCCTCATCATCTCTGCTATTCTGCAAATGTCCTTTTGTCAATGAAAATGTCATCCTCACCCCACAACAGACTGAATTTCTCTCTTGTCTGTTCTCCAACTAGGTATGATCTTACACTTCTTATATTCCACATCTGTAGGTTTCTGTTTCATGTTTAGAATGTATATTTTCATTTAAAATTCCTAAAGCAAGCACAACCAACCACACATCTATTTAGCATTCCTGAGAAGCGGCCACGGTTGAATAACATAGTGCTCTTCTTAATGGGTGAGAAACAGAGAGAGTCATGTGCTCCCCAGCAAACTTCCTGCAAGAAACCAATGCTTGTTTAGTTAGATTCCCTACTAACTCCTCCCTCCATTTATGTGTCATTTTACAGATGAAGAAAGGAATGTCTAGAGGAATTCACTTTGGTTGGAAAAAAGACTTCATATTGGAAGTACATCTTAAGCAAAGACAGACTGTGCTTACCAGAAATGAATAGGTTATTCTTGAGAAGATGGGAACAGATTAAAAGTCATGAATTTATTAAGATTCTGATTTATATCCACACATACAGTTGGGCCCCTGTATCTGTGGGATCTATCAGTGAAGGATCATATAATATTTAATGATGGTTGCTTATGTACTGAAAGCATACAGACTTTTTTTCTTTTGTATTATCATTATTTCTCCAATAACACATTGTAACCCTTTACATAGTACTTAAACTGTTTTAGGTATCATAAGTAATCTAGAAGTGAAAGTATATGGAAGAATGTACACAGGTTGTATGTAAATCCTATGCTGTTTTATCCAAGGACTTTGAGCATCCTGGGATGTAAATCTGGGCATGGAGATTGGTCCCAGAACCCACATGCCTCAGGTACAAAAAGGCATCTGCAC